AGAGCAGTTCTGCTCAACAGGATATCTCTTTCACCGAACATTATCAAGTCAAGTCAGATTTATCCATCTCTCACCAATTCACGGCAACTACAAAATAACCACAATGATGACCAAATTTCTTTGTAGATTAATCTTAACCCAATAACATTCCTTTGATTTCTCATCTCCCTAGATCTGTGTTGTACCTCCTAGATTTTTCACCATCCCACAGTAGCAGCTTTGATTTTCACACTTGACTGACTTACAGTGCCTGAATTGCAGAAAAATTCCACAAACTGTCCTATTTACAGGGCAGATTTTAAATTTGGAGTTAAAATTCAGAATTAAAAAACGATATGAAGAAGCAAGCTTAGGAGGCTGAACAGAGGCATATGAGTAAGTATTTGAGGAAAGTTGTGTAACTATGCTGACCTATGAAGCATTGGTCGGTGGACCTGAAAGGAAATAGGACTTAAGGGAATAGGGCAGAGAAATAGGTCAAAGTGCAGGTCTGTTGGCCTACACAGCCATATGCCCTGTGCAAAAGCTGAAAAGTGGAGAAGAACATTGCTACCTTCAGAGGGACTGAAAATAGGGTGAAAATTTGAGGCATGGGAACACTGAAAACTCTGTGACAAGGCATCACTGCTGAAAATGGCTGCTACAGTCTTGAAACTGTATCCATATAAGGCAGCAGTTCCATAGGGATGTACTTGAAATATGAGTTTCATGCTGAGGATTTATTTCAGTACCTTGAATAACTCTACACATTCCCAGTCCATCCCTCTCCTTCTTTTCTCCAGTCAGGATTAGCCTTGTTTTACCTGTGCCATCTTCCCCTCAGACTATTGTACTTCTGTGTTCTGAGCAGTCATGAGACAGGCTGGTAGCATCAGAAAATTGGAATTTGACCTTTTAACTGTTTTATATAGACTACTGGAATGAAGAATAGCTATTATTTTAGTTTAGATATAAATTATGGTCCAGGACCATATAGGAAACTGTGTGAGTGTTAAAAGTTGTATGGATATGTCTATGTTTAGCCACACGAAAGTGAAACACCAAAGACCATCAGTTTAAAATGCTTTCTCAGTTAAAACTGGCAAATTGTTTACTCAGTGCTATTAAATATCAAGTCACTTGTTGAGGAGTGTGAGGAAAACACCTGGAGACTAAATTTAAGATCCTGTTTAACATGTATGCAGAAATCTTAAAGCAGTTTTCTGAATGGGTCACTCAACCTTATATACATTATAAAATTGAAAGATAATAGCACCTCATCTGGAAACAGAAACAAAGGAATAATAAATCAGGGTCAAAATGTTTACTACATGATTATTTTATATCTCATTAGATTCAATTTAGCTTCTATAAATTTGTAAAAATGCTAAAATTACTAGCCATGCACTTCAGTGAATCAGCAGCTTTGAAAATTTTTTATTTTCTATTCCCAGTGACAGTCAATTCAACACTTCAAAGTATAGGAAGGTAAATGATGCAAGGAATGATAAATGATATTTCCAAATGGCTGAAAGATGATAGCATCAAGATAAAAGGAGGGCAAAGCACTACTTACAGAAGTTAAGGGATAACACAGAAAGAGAGAAGAAAGCTGTCAGGAACTTTTGGGCAACAAACATCATCAAAACATTTCTATATGGAGGAAATACGATTCTATTCATGAGAGAACCATTAACTTTTTTTCTATGTTCCTAAACACAGCTATCTGCTTCTGATGTATGTGCCTAATTTATTCAATTCTACCTGTTCATAAAAACTAAGTAGAACAAAACATCACAGCAGGAGAAGGACAACAGATTTGAATCCCGCTGCGTTCGTTCAAGAAAGCAAGGAAAGCTTTCCTGCTAGGAAACCAAACACCTTTTTGAGCTATTAAAAAGGAATAGCTTTTGTTCATCCATGAATACAAAAACTGCTTTTCAAATGTTTTTCAATAATAAAGGTCATTTTGGAAGCCAAAGTGAGAAAATCAGAAAATTGCTAAATGTGAGTTATGAGTTCATTATAATCATTTTCATTTTCACAGTCATAGAAGATGATTATCTAAAAAGATGCAGAAAAACGATACAGATGACATAAGATATTCACATTCATTTATTTGTCTGGATAGTGGCTCTCCTTGAGACTCACTGGGTATTCCTAGACACAATTTCTCATGAAAGCTATATGATCATATTAAAGCACCTTTGTCACCTGAAATTATGGTGAACTTTTTATCATTATCATTATTACTAATTTTAATATTTTTAATTTGTAGCGTTATCTATTTTAATTATAGAGAATATTGCAAAGCTCCTTTCTGGTCAAATATTGCGCTTCAACAGACATCCAACTTAAACTCCTCATACTTCATTACATCTGCACTCCAAATCTGCATTTCAACAATTTGTTATTCAACTGTCAAAGACAGACTAGAACCCGTGGTCTTCAAAATTGATAGCTAATTACCATAGAACATTGACTAAACACTGAGAAGACTGTATCCAAATGTTTCATATAAAAGACATAACATTTCATCAAGATGACCAAGTATTTATAATGGATATAAAACAGTAAAGGTAAACTTTGAGTGCCACATTTTTCTTTCAGATCACTAGAAGATTAAAGTGAATATGTTTAGAGAGACATGACTGTTTGAAATGTTTATAGAGAAAACATTTGCAATATGATACATAGAATCCAACAAAAATACAGTTCAAGTTCATACACCATATGGCAAAACATGTACACTAGTAACTAAGTCATTCATACAGGCAAATGTGTATCAGTCCTGTGTTGCTTCCCTTCACCTCGCAGTTAGGGAGATAGAGATTCTTTGGCTTGGTGTTTGTGTTGTGTTTGCTACATTCTGGCTTGCTGGAAGAAAACTTGGATGTTAAGCAGTATTTTTGTGTGGCACCTAATGGAAGAAAATTTTGGCTTCTAATAACCGACAATAAAAATTTTCATTGCTTCATGTATAACTGTGGCTAACTCTTGATCAGTTTAAGACTGATCAGCAAGCCCCTATATCTGGTAACCTCAATGCACTCAACTGAACTTTAAGGTTTGAGTGCTGTCATAATAAACTCAGACAGGGATATGAGAAAAATACAGCTACGAAGCATTTGCTCAGGTTTAGTTGGTTGAAGAGCAGAGAGGAGATAATTTAGATTCTGAGCTAAGGCACTGGATTTTGTTAGCACAATGCCACTGTGATTCTCTGCAAGGGAATCCAAGAGAAAACACAGATTCAAATAAGGTAGGATTGAGGGACAGGAAGAAGACTCCTAGAGTAGAAAAGTTTTCATAATCACATATAAGTAGCCTCATAAAGATCATTCTGCTAGGAGCAAAGTAAATCTGTCAGTAAGAAATATCAATCAGCATTTCCTGCCTTAAAGTCTACTATCTTCATATAACAAGCAGGTTATGTTTAAGAAAAGGTTCATTCTTACCTGAAATTATTGAGAAACCTCAGAGACTATTTTATCTGTCCCCCTTCACTCATTCCTTTCCATCCCTCTCCTCTTTCTCTACATGAAGGTATATATTATGGCACACACATACAAAGTATGTGACTATAGATCTGCATTGATTTGCTTGAGGGTTACACAATTGAATAATTTGTATCAGAATATTATTTAATAGTTCAGAAATGTAGACATTACAATCTGATATACAGTATCACATGACACTATTAAGCAGCCTGATAGAAATTTCCCCAACAGCATATTTTAATCTCACCCTGTGTCTTCTTTCTGCAAACTGTTAGAAGTATTTGGCATAAACAAGTAGGTTAACATGAATTAAGTCAAGCTTAGCCAATCTTTTAGCACTTCTATTTGTCCACGAAGCTGTAAACACAAGAATTTTAATCCACCTATTTCCTGAGGAAAAAATAACAGCAGCAAATTTTCTTACCACAATGTCACATTTGCTAGGCTCTAGAGCATACAAGAACAAACTATGGACATAGTCCAGTGTGATAGACTACCATACTACCTACAGATTTAAAACACGATTTTCTGAGATCCATGAGCAAGAAAATACATGGCAGTATAAAGCTACAAGTTTCCATGATCAGATTTCTTGCTTTTTAAATTAAAAAATACATTGAATACACTAAGGAACCATTCTAAAGTTTTGAGGTCCATGGTTGCCCTAACCATTCCACAAAAGCTATTCATATTCACTGATAATCACTTGATCTATAGCTTTCATTAAAAATTCAACTTTTATCGTCATTCAAAGGCTATGAAAAATAATGCATTTAAATTTCTATGACATTCCATATTGAAAGTGCTTTATCTAGAATGAGAATTGAATAAGTAGGTGTTGCTGTTCCCCAATATATTCAATTAATTTTTCCATTTCAGTGCTTCAAATCACAACCCACAAAACAGCATCTAGGTTTTCTGTTTTCTACAAGCTTTGATTATATTTGTGAAATATACAAGAATGAGGGAATAAGCATCAAGCAATTCTTAGACTTTGCTGCAATCATTGTGCTTTCATGATGTGCAGAAGTGACTGGTAACATACCATACCGATGTAGAAGTTGTTTAAAAAGCATATTATATAAAAACTGCTTGCAACCTATTAGAGAAGTCAAATGTCAGATGTATTCAAAGAGGTGTTGATAGATACAGTGGGGAGCAGTGAAAGGGTACCAGCTATAACATGGGTTCTGCTGTCTCTATAATAGAAATAAAAATGATCTAGAGATGTTTCACATACAGTAATGGAGTGAGTTCATTTTTTTTTCATTATTCAAATTGTTGATAAAATAACTTCCCTGCTGTTTTCAAGTTGTAGGCCGCTATATGCCTATTGCGTTCAAATAGCTCATGTGTTTGAAGAGCTGCTCTTAGCAGCCATAATGCATTGCTTTGATGCCCAGGGCCCCAGTACAGTGAACTGTTTCACTGATCACTACTGTACCAAACTCACGACACCATGGAAACATGAAGGACTGGTGAATTACTTTGAATAACTAAGATCTGAGTAAAATATTTTACCTTTTGAGCCTGAGGGAGCTGGAAAATAACAAAACAGAACAAGCAATCATTATACATTAAATAAATTTAAACAGCTACTTCAGCTGTTGTATTCATAAAATCACAAATGTAATAAAATATTGGATAAAGGAAATTAACTTTACACTGAGGGTTTATAATGACTTAGTTCATTATTTGACAGCTTATCTGCTAGGTGTCACAAAAGTACCATCAACTTATTAAATACCATGCTACTAGAAACAGATCATTTTTTCATCAGATATGGTATCACACTTGAATTGTGAAGTAGTTCCATCTTGCTGTACACAAATATAATTCAACATAAAGATAGTTTCAATTTAAAACCAGTCATTCTTTATTTGTAAAGATCTAAATCTATAGTTATTAAGAATAAAGTGGACATTAGGAGAAGTTTGTTGCATTGAAGTAGCTGAATTCTCAGGAAAGAAAAACAAAATGATAGTAGTGCCTGTTTTAGCAAACATTCTATCATATATGCATACAATACAACAATTTATGCATAGAAGAACATGTCTATAGTGTAACAAGTATGATTAGACACACATATATGCAAACACAAGATGTTTATGCATATATGACTATTCACATGACACATGTTCTTAAGCAAGATTACCCTATAACTGGTTGTACACAAAGTATTTACAAAAACAACTCACATAAGAAAGTATAGAGAGCAGGCATTAGACTCCATTACATCTGAACACCTTATTTATCAGAGTAGAAAATGAGTTCTGTTTCCACTTAAGGAAAAAAAAACTCATTGCAGATAATGGAGAGGAACTTAGAAAAATAAACTATTATCATCACAATATGTTTGTAATTTTTCAAAATTCTTCTTTTTTTACTTTCAGCCTCAGAGAATTTTGCTACACACAGCAATTTAGCCTTGTGCTAAATCCACCTCAAAAATTCCCATTTTCCCACACAAATTGTTTCTTTACAGGCATCGGCTGAACACAGAACAGGCAGGTAAGTTAATATCAAATGCCAAAGACCTTCAGGATCTCTACTAATCTTCCAACAGACATTTCTCTCTCCCTCTTTTTTTTCTTTTTTTTTTTTTTAATACCATCTTCTCATATAACATGTTAAAATCATGAGCATTCTTTCATCAGAATCTATGTAAAGACAGCTGCAATAAAGAACAATATTCAAATTTCCACCTTCAGAATAAACTTCAAAGAACTCCATAGTTTGCTTAAGCTAGCGCACATAAACTCAGGGGTTGTCAATCAGCTAATTTGTACATCATATTCTACAAAATGGTGCTTAAAATACAGTAAATGCATATGAGGCAACATATGCATATTAGGTTCTGGAATATCACTGCAGAAATTATTACTTCCAGATAACACTCAAAGTAAATTAGAAAACTTCAAGTCCATATACAGTGCAGATACGTTTAAGGTAGTAGTGGGAAATCAATAACCTCATCAAAAATAGGAACCACAAATGTATGCACATACACAATGCTCTGGTATGACTTTGTAAGTTTAACCCTCATACAAATACCAGTATGCTCAATATAATTTTTATCGATCATTTTCAGAACTGGAATTCACTCCTGTTTGAGCACATCTCTTCAGTAACGTATGGTTTGGAGAGGTTTCACCAGTCAAAACTTGGATAACTTGGACAGTCAGATGAAATGCAAGTGAGGATTTCCCTTTGATAATTACTACACAAAAGGAAGTTACATACTCTCTTTTAAGAAATGAGTCCTCTTGCCTTTACCAAGATTATTCTCAAGAGAACATTAATAAGAGTTGGCAAAACAGAGCTCCATGCTATTTGTTGCTGAATGGAGTATGCCAGTCCCATTTATAGCCTTTTATAAAAATCAAGAATATCTCTTTGCTCTGAAAGATTAGTCGTCAAGCCTTGATTAAGAATAACAGGGACAGCAGATTAGATTTACATTCCACTATGCTTTCTTCTGGATAAGAATTCTCATCTCTTTTCTTCTAAGCTTCAGAATCCAGGTTCACAATCTTTTCCTCCAAAAATCTGTCTTTGCTATAGCTAGATAAATCTTAATTCTGTTTTCTTTTCAAAGCTTGTCTGTTACAGGATCTATATGCCAGCAATTCACTTTCATAATTGCTACAAATTCCTTTGAAATAAACCATGGAGGTTTGTCTGACATTACCCCTTCTGGGAGGCCATAGGAAACAAACAATTTTCCTAACAATAACAGTAATAGCTCTCTGGTCTGTCCCTTTATTGCATAGTCTAAAAATTGCCTGTCTGTGTAAAACCCAGTGGGTACCTCTGCTTCCTGGGGTTTGCCTTATGCCCTGCCAAGAGGCCCTTTTGCAGTAAATTATGTGATCTCTTCCTGACCCTTAAAAAACTCAGAAGCAGAATTTTTTATTCTACTTGCACCTATGGTAAACTATGTTATTTTGGGAGCTTTATCAGGCACAACCATGCCAAAGAGCTCACAGTTTCTATGTGTTGTTCTGTTGTGTCTCTTCCTTTTTCTGATGATCAACAATAAAAGAAGACAGATGATCAGATAAATATATATATATTCGACTTGCTCCTAGTTAACCAATTCTGTCAAAACAACTGTGGCTGAGGTGCAAGGAAGAGGTATGGCTGTTTACTGTCTTCTGGTGTTTGGGGGATGGGGAAGTTTACCTTCCTCCTACTACAGGTGTGGCAGGGTCAGGAGCATGCAGACACAGAAGTACCAGGGAAAACCTGAGAGGATTTTTAAACAGAGAAACACAGACTTCATTAATGATCCCAATGGAGCTCTGTAAATCTTTCTGCAACCAAAATAACAACTGACAAAGAGCAATCTTAGTGTACAGGACCCAAGAACACAGTGAAGAAAAGGGAGGGGAATTTGCCTTCAGATCCTTTCATTTCAATCTATCTTTCCCAGAAGCCCCCCCTTTTTTTTTTGTTTTAACCAAATAATTTTTCATATTCTATTTTATAGTACAAAAATATACCCTCAGAGAGCTCAAACCCTCAATATTCCAGGAAGACAGTAAGAATTCCACCTCTGTGTTCATATTATCTTAGGGTCCTGTCAAAAGGTAACAGAACAAGTAATTGTTCAAGGCTTTTCAATACTGCTACTGCACATTGTGTCAGACTTCCCATGTTTGCAAACAGTCCAGTATTGTTTTGAGTCCTTCATGAAAATGCATTTGGTATTATATACAAAAAAAAAAAAAAGAAAAATCACAGGCACTACTAAAGTGATAAAAGAAGTCAAGACAAGCTAAGGAGGTCAACTATTTCTTGGATCAGATAACTGTGAGGTCAGCGTAAGCAGAAGAAACAGAAGTTAGACAGATTTGAAATACTGACTTCAGATGCACAAGGCATATGTTAGCGGACCAGTAGTTCTAATGAGTATTACTCCTTCATACCATGCCTCAAAGAACTCTCTCATCCTTAACAAAACAGAAAGTCAGGGAGCAAAGAGTTGTAGCAGCTTTGTTCAGCATCACACTTGTAAAACACTTGAAAGAACTACTATTTTATGAAGGAATTTGTGTATGTGTTAAGAAAAATGAGCAGCAGGAATTCAAATCTACAAAGCTGAGAATCTGTGGAAGACTGGTTTTAACTTGCCAGATCTTGTAACATATATATGGAAAGGAAAATAATCTCACAGTTATTAACAAACTTCTAATGTTTCTGTCCAGTAGCATGCCAGCTTGAGGAAGAAGTTCTGTAAACACCTGCGATGAAGCAGTGGCAACAACCAACTACTAGCTGCACTGGGGCAAAGTCAGCTATGTTTCTTCTAAGAAGTTTCTTTGTGTCCCAAATAATATAGCATGACTTTGAATTCAATATTTTACTGAAAAATTCTAAAAGAAAATTCTTTTTATTAAAATATTAAATAAAGAACAGTTAAGTGTACCTGCATGACATGCATCTGTGTACCTGTGTGTGTTTTTATCAAGTTATCTCAAAATGTGACAAAGTACTTTTTTATTCATAATCAAATCATCAAGAATTGACTAGGATCTCTGCTAACACTTCCTTACAGTTACGGAAAATAAAACCCTTTAGTTTACGATGCTTGCAGTCAAAGCAAAAACATCTAAGCCCCAAATGACAAGACAGCACAGGTGAATCAGAGTTAGAAAGAAAGCAAGGGATTAAGTAAGCAAAGTATTGAATACAGTACGACATTCCCATCAGGAATAGCAATCAGAGCTGACCCTTTGTCTCAGGCTGTTGTTTCCCATAATACATTACAAATAGACTAAATAGTTTTACAGAGGGATTTCAAACTTCTAAACGTACTAAAAAGAATGTATTCCCAAATAAATTTATTTATATGCTATTAGGGACAGTGATGACATTTGCAATTGCAAAACAGATTGGTTTTTACATTGATTCCAACAGTTCATCAATATTTTAAGGTAACATTTAAGAACAGTCAAATAGATTTTCTCTTGATTCAACTGCTAAATGTATTTTCAACTCAGGTGTACTCATATAAAAAATGAAATGAATTATGTGTTGTAGTGTAAACATTCACTGACTTTACAACTGAAGGTTTTTGTAGGTAATCCATTAAATGACATTGATCACAAAATCTAATTAATACCCAAAATAGATATTATTGTTTTTACTTAATGGAAGGCATCTCTACAGAGTGAAATCATTTAACATGCTTGAAATTTCAGCCAGGTACACTGCACCAGACTCATGCTTACTCATGTTTTCTTTTGCAGAATGGCTTCTATTAGCCCAACATGCCTTCAGTGAATCAGTTTGTTTGTAACTAGCTACTTATGTGGCCATAACCTGAGCCAGACTAATGCTTACATGTGTTTCCAAGTAAAAAGCACATTTAAAACTCATACACCATTACGATCTTCACTGTGTGTCCTTCATCAACATGGGCAACAAAGCAGAAAGTGAAAATGTTATCAAATGCATTAAAGAGCAAGCTGTCAGTCATTCTGAAAAATGAGTTCAAAGACTCAGTGGGTAATCTGTCCAGATCCACCACTTCA